TGAAAGAATTTGTTTGAAAATTGAGTACTTATGCATAGGAGCCAAAATTGGAAGCCATAGTACTTTCTCAGTAAGGAATTCTTTCTACCATAATTGACTTTACATCCTGTATTTTTTTTTTCATGGACTCGAGCTTTGAACATTTGAAGTATAGATAATTATTAGGTCTTACAAATGCATTGTGGAGCCCTGGTGGTTATTACATTCATTCCCAGTGTGTAAGAAGAGGCACCACAGCAGGAGCAACCCTGAGGAAGGTATGGCCTCACCCAGTTCAGCCGGTCTTTGTCAGTTAGCAGCAGACTCATGGGATAATTTTCCGTACTGCCTTCTGCTTCCGTCTCACCCCATTAATTATGCTAACGAAATGCACTCAACACCTATACTGTGTAATCTCATTTAGCCTCAATGGCTACAAAAATACTAACTCCGCTAATGGAGGCATTTCCAGCTGAGCCAAACACTGCACTCCAGTAAGTGCAGTAAGCATGACTTAAAATGGCAATTCTCTATTACTCAGAATGAGAACTGTGGAAGTATTTGTTCATGCAGACCAAATGTGCCCTACCAAGGCAAGAAATTTGAAAAGGTATGTGTTGCCTTTTAATTGTTTTTGAGACATTTTTTGCTATAAGGCATGCACACTCACCAGAGAGACAGAGAGAGAAAATGAGAAATCACCCCCCCCCAGGGGGGATGGCCATGCCTCCGTCTTTTCTCCTCCATCCTCCTCTTGGGATTTTGGGCACGCACACACATGCACCCAGTATGAGTTTTAAGTCACCAAGTCCAGCACTTGAACCATAGTCAACTATGTGGGAGTCTGGTAACATAATCATTACACCATCTGCTTGTTTGTTTCTACCCTTTTAATTTTAAAGACTTCCTTTTTCTATCCTATCTCCCCATTGTCTCTTCCTGACTTTGGCTCTTTCCAGAATGGGAATTAAGAATGCAAATGTTGGGACCAGCAGTTAATATAATGGCTATGTCACTGGACTCCCATGTAGTTGACCACGGTTCAAGCCCCGGACTCAGTGGCTTAAACTCCTGCTGGACATGTGTGCTTGCATGCCCAAGACTCCAAGAAGAGAATGGAGGAGAAGGGATTGTGGCATAGCCATCCTCCCTAGGGGGTGATTTCTCACTTTCTGTTTCTCTATCTCTCTCTGTCTTTCTGGCAAGCACACACACCCTATAGCAAAAAAAAAAAAAAAAAAAAGACTCTTCAAAAAATAAAAAGGAAGAAGAAGAAGAATACAAATGTAGGGAACAGCAGATGTCATAATGACTACATCGCTGGACTCTCATGTAGTCGACCACGGTTGGAGTCCTGGGCCCAGGACTTAAACTCACACTGGGCGCCCGTGGGTGTGTGCCCAAGATCACGAGAGGAAAATGGAGAAGAAGGGATTGTGGTGTGGCCATACCCCCAGGGGGTGACTTCTCACTTTCTGGGGAGCACATACACCCTATCTTAAAAATCTTTCCAAAAAAAATACAAATGTAAACATTCAGTTAAAATACAATTTAACAGGTTAGAAAAGAGTGCCAAAGTTACTTTGAGCATCTGAAAATGAACAATTCAGCAGCTGCCTCTCCATCACTATCACCATCACTGTTTGCTGATCGAGCGTGAAGAGCTGCAGGGACATGGTCCTTGCCATGGAGCCCAGCTCCACAGCACCAAGGTGGCCCTCCACATTCAACAAACTCAGGGTTTCTAAATACCGAGTGGGGGTTCATTTCACTGTGCCATAAAAGATCCTCTAGAAAGGCTCCTTGAAAAAGTGGTCATGAAAAATGACCAGGTCGGAGTCACCTAGAGCAGAATGGGAAACACTCATCTCTGGGAAGGAAAGGAGAAGGAACTGCAAAGACACAGCAGGAGTCTCATAGAACTACCTGCCTTCAGTGGCTATGGCTGATGGGCAGCAACTGTTGAGAATGTTACCTGACTGTTGGTGGAAAGAGT